GAGCCTCGAAACATCCCACCAAATCCCAGGGCACAGGTTCCCTGCGCGGAGTTCGGGCTGTGGGTACAGAGTGCAGGGACTATCAGCAGGGAGGTTAGAGTGATCTACGCGAGCAAGCAGCCCTGTTACACACATTTAATGCAAGTAGGAGAGGCAAGATGCTTCAGAAAAGCAGTGAGGTAAAATGAGCTGAACACCGATGAAAGACACCGCAGCCTTGCGGTTCTCCCTGCCACAAAAACTGCTCACCGCAGAGCCCCGAATCGGTTTTAACTCGCTTGGTTTCAGGTTCCACCGTAAGCCCAAGCCGCAAACCAGCGAAGCCACAAACTGTGGCCCGTGGAGGCCAGGCGTAGACGCAGCTTAGGCCGAGTTTCACCTGACCCCAGATCAGTTTGCAGTTCTCAACTAAAACCACGTTGATGCTTCAAGGGCTTTTCCTGCCGAGCGGGTTCAGAAAATGTTACCAAACCTGTAGGCACCGCGGATGGCCCCGAGCCACGGGCGCCGCACCCCTGCGCGTGGCGAACAGCGAGGGGGTTTAGAGGCCCTGCTGCACAACCCGCTGCAGGCACCCGCACTGCTTCGTGCTGGCAACGGCCCCCAGCAAGTCGGGATATCACCCCGGCGCTTCGGAGGTGGGTCGTGCATGCAGGGCAGCAAGGTCCTTCACTGCATCCACCACCAAGACACATGGCTGCTGTAGGAGTAAATTGAGTGGTACGGCCAACATGTCGCCTGCTGCCAGTTCCTCAGGTTTCTTTAACAAGTCTCCCATGCACTGCTGCTAGCAGGGTGTCTCCTCCCCTGGTCCCTGTTTGCACTGGGACTGTCTCTGGTCAGCACAAGAGTTTGCACAGCAAAGAACAAGCCCAGGGCTCTGCGGAAGGCTTCATTTCCCAGGCCATGAAATAATTCCCTTCCCTTCTTGTTAACCCCACAGCAGATACTGCTCATTAAACAGAAGGCACAGTCTGGGTCCATATGGCTGAGATTAACTTCTGATGAAATTTATGGAATTCTGTAATAAATATAATTGTTCCACACTACATCAAAGTGCAAACAGGAGGGCGGCAGGGCAAATGTACATGCCCCAGGAATGCAAAGGCACTGAAGTCATTTATCTCAGATGTTGGGGAAGGGCAGGTGCTGGATAAGGAAGGTGTTTTAGTCCACTTTTCCAGTCCTGTCTTACCCTACCTAACCTCCAGTTGTTGCACTTATGTTCCCAGTGCTGCAATATTTTCTTTGAAGTAGATTTTCAAAAGGAAAAAGAAAAAAAAAAGAGATATAAAAAAAGAAAAAGAAGATATTAGAAAGAGCACTTCACAGGAAAAGGGGCCATGGCAGGGTGCTCTATCAGCCTTCAGAGAGTAGCTTAGAAAACTGTGAGGCTTTAAACACACACACATCCCTGCAAGCAAACAACCTCCCTCTGCAAAAATAAAAGCAAGGAATAAACATTCAAACTTAACCTATTTTTCACCTGACAACATATAAAAAAACATTATGGCAACACATTTTTTTTCCATAAAAAGATACATGGAGAAACTAGGTCAAAACCAATCCTTATCTAAGAAGACAGACTCTACTGCAATCAATTGACCAGCTTGTGCATTATGGAAAGTCTGAATACATCCTATATTATGACTAGTAATAAGCATTGTTCAGAAAAAGCACAAACTTCTGGACATTATGTATGTATATAATACACAGGAATGTGTCTTGGGAAAGGCCTTTATACTTACATGTGCCATCCTTTCGTTCTCTTTTTCAAGTTGCATCCTCCCTCTTTCCATTCCTAAAAAAGGGTCTTAACTAAATTACTGCTAAGCTCGCTCTATGTGTGTAGGGCATAGCTTGGAAGGAATGATCCTTTTGCCTGGTTTAGAAATACATCCAAAGCCCAGAAGGTTCCCCACTGAGAATTACATGAACGGTGACTGAAACGGCCAGGCCTTCCCTCGCCTGACCGTGGAGCATCTCCGCTGCCCGGGGCATCTTCACCTTCAGCTCAAGAAAGGGAACAAGGTTGTTCTCCACGTTCACTTATTTAGGCCTTGCCACTGCCCCCTGCCCATCCTGAACATACTGGCAGCTGCCTTGGCCCACAAACCACATTTCTGTACTACAGTAAGAGCTGAAGTGTCACAGGATGCCTCTCCTCAGTGAGGTCCCTGAAGGAAGTTCTGCTTGACAGCTACTTTCCAAGGGAGAGAGATCAAGGACACTAGGAGTCATACTCCTAAAGTCCTGGGAATTTTGATTTCCCAGGCACAGTGGCACCTCTCCAGTTCACATGGCAAATGATAAGGACACGGATATCGGACAAATCCAACTGCCCTGATTTCCAACCTGCTACTCTCACAGGCCCACGGCTTCCCACAGCTTTGGCAGCGTGGGGCCTGGGGCTCCCTGCGAGCTGCTCTAGAATGAGAGCTGCGACTGCCCTTTTATCAAAGTTGGACACTCTTCCCCCCTCCTTTGGAGCATAAATTGGAGGTAAAATACAAAATCTCTACAAGTCTCTGTAAAGCACAAAGAACAGCACTGTGCTTTTTTTCTTTGCTTTTGTTTCCAGTTAATTTTCTATAAACATTCTTAACAAAACCTGCAGAACACTTTCATTAGTTTAGTGGGTGAATAAGGTTTGAAAACCAGTGAACCAGTGTAGGCCCCATCCTGGTCTTTTCTTCCCCAAATGAAAATGTAAACAACATTCAAATAAACACGGCTCTACTGGGCTCACAGGCCTTGCGTATATAGTAATAGACATGATGTGTGACTGTTAACAAGAGTTGGTTTCCCTGCCAAATTTTAAATTTATCTTTGTCACAGTACTAAAGATCTTCCCTGCGATTTACTTGCCTGAATGTGGGACCATTAATCAAGCTATTTGCATTAATAGGTAGGATTTATTTCAGCCCAGCTCAGCGCAACCATCTAGATGACAGCTAACCTTACTGAGTAACCCGAGACCTTCCCCTGGGCTCGGGCAGAAAGGCCCTTTGTGCTTCCTCCTCTGCAGCTGACCACAAGGCCCGACTCAGCCAGCCACGCGAGCCTATGTGGAAACGCTGCCCAAAATACTTCTGCTTCTTGACTTGCTGCCTTGCTCCTGAAGCAACTGCCTGCTCCTTTCCTCCTTTTCCCTGACTACTCAACTTCATCCCATGTGTGAGGCAACCGCCTCCCACAGCCACGATAAACTAGGGTAGAGATAACAAGAACAAGACTTGGTCTCCTTTACCCAGACAAAAGGGGGGCACATATGGTAGGGGGATACAGGCAAAATTTCCTGATTTAGGCTGATGGTTTTCCTGACCTCAACCCCATGACTGCCAGTCTCACACAAAGGCAGAAGAGGAGACTGGCTAAGAGGGCTGCAAGAGGGAAGCTTTAATGCTCCCCATTAAAAGCAGCACACATTTACTGACTAACCTGACTGCTAAAATGGTAAAGATACAGGACAATCCAAATTAATGCAGTTTGCACAAGTCTGTCAGGTTTTTAGATATTTTTTAATAGCCTGTTTGTATCCCCTTCAATCTAATGCAGAATAAGCACCGTTAGGAAGTTTGCAAGCTGTTTCCATCCTAATAAATCAGGGGAAATCTTCCGCATCTTTTACTTTGTGAGGAAAACACACACCAGCTGTTCTGAGGCTTATGAAAAATTTAAATTAAGTTTTCAATTTTCTAAGAGGCCTGAATTTCTCCTACTTTGTCACTGACATCCAAACAAACAAAAAAGCTCAAAGTCAGAATCCTCAAAACCACCACTCAGAGGAGTTATAACGCAAAGCAAACTTAAAAAAAGAAAAGTCTACAGCTTCTGCCTAGAATATCTTCTTTAAACAGGTTCTGAGGGATGCATTCAGCAGAGGAGGGCAGAATCTGGTAATTTATTTACTTTCAGTTTTAGTTCAGAGTCAAATTCTCTCAGAGCTCTTCAGTTAACTGAAGGTATTTAGGAATGAGACATCAAATACCAGAGGCCTCACTGAAATCCATTGACACTCAAAGCTACTCTCTTTTCAGCCTCAGAGAGTTTCAAGAGAATTCCACCAAGGACACTATGGGAAACTAAGGTTCATTTCTATTACAAGCTCATACACAAGCAGGGAGAAGCACAGCAACTGAATACAAATATCAGCTGCATTACAACTGCTTCAGCTTATCAGCTATTTCTGGTTCCACTGTCACTCAGCTTTACCCTGAAACTAGTTTGCTATTAATTAAAAGCATATACTTCTTTAGGCCTCTATTACCACAATACTACAGAGGGTAAGAGCATCTGATGCAAAAAAAATTGTAACAATTTGTCCTTATCGAAGCACAAAATACTAAGCAGGAATATTTTCTGTGCTGGGGTGCAGCTTCCTAACTGGGAAGATTTCAGAAGTGCAAGGACCAAAGAAGATCTACGTCAGAGTTTGTTTTTCATCCTGCTTTTGCTTCTATTGGCAAAAATGTAGCACTGTAATTAGAATAAGAGTAGCAGCTTTCATTTAGGAGAGGTGAGCACAGAAATGTTTGGAGAGGACTGACAGAGACATCTCTCACACGCCACTAAATACATACACACATGCTGGCTGGTGGGAACGATGTTCCTCAGAAGTTAGTTCTGCTGTGTGGGGACCTACACTTTAATCGTCCCTCTCATTTATCACCCTGCTAAAGCAATTAACAATAAAATATTTTTCAAATGGTCTTGTGGGCCACTTTGCTTGATATGTTACTATTCATAGTAGTAGTTTATCTTTCTTTCTGGATGAGCCTGCTGGATCTCAACATATTTTTTTTGACCCCCACATCTGTTGCCCTTTAGCTTATGCAAAAGCTCACTGATTTCAGTAGCCCTCTTCATACAGCCAGTTACTTACTTGTGAAAGCGCCTGCAGAATCAGGGCAGCAGTGAACACCGTTTCATTCCCTTTATTCTGCTGTTCCCCCAGTTCCATAAAAACCTTATCAGTCTTCTACAACATTACCTCGTACCTTGTCTGTTTTTTTTTCTTGTTTTTCCAATATGGCCATGTTTTCTTTCAGAATTTTCACAATCTCTGCAGGATTTTTGTGCGATTTACTAAACAAAGGCATGTTTTTTCTTCACTTGGATTTCTTCTTTCAGTATAGAAGAGGGCTGCCTTAAACCAAATGAGAAACAAACAAACAAAAAAATGCTTTTAAGATTTGTACAAAACTTCAAAATAGAACACACAAAGACAACATGCACAAGAAAGGGCTGTGCCTTGGGCACTCAGTCTTGCTGCAGCTCCTCCTAAGCCACAGCAGCCCTGGCCCAGAGCTGCTGCAGGATTCCCAGGCCAGCAGGAGCACGTGGGAAGCAGCTACACAGGGGCCGGCTGCTCTCCAAGGCCCTGCACTTACACAGCTCATGACCAGGGCTCCTGGGGCTAAAACATTGCAAGATGAGGTCCCAACTTCACAGCCACCACTCATGCAACTGCCTTTTCTCCTTTCAGCTTAAAGGCCATTGCAATGGTGTAGTTTAAGCTACCCCCTAAGTCTGTCAGGCTTCAAGAATCCTTCTGTACCTGCGGGTTCAGGTCTTGCTTATGTAAAACGCTGCCTGACTTAAATACGGAGCAGAGGATCAGGCCCATATACAGGCACAAATGTTTTCATGACATTTAAATGAAAGACAGAGCATTTTAATGAAAATATTTGTGTTTATTTAATTTAAAACATTCTTCCTCTGCATGGCTGGAAAGGCAAATACCACATCAGTGTATAAATACATGAAAGAAACCAAGTAGCTCAGTTTCAGTAGGCTTCTGATCCTACCAAGCATTAAGCTGTGAACTCCCATGGGTTTTGCTGAGGGGCTGGTACAAATATCCCCTGAAGGTACTGGAAAAGACTAGACTAGCCTAGGCTCTGGTGAAGCCAGTGTCGCTTTAAAGGGAAAGCACAGCATCATTCTGGCCTGCATTCCAGCTTGTAAGGCATGAGGACAACAACAACAACAAAAAAAAAAAACCCACAAAACCAAAAATAATCTCAGACTTTCATCTCTTTCCACAACAAAAGACAACAGCAACCACCAACCTCCCCCATGCACATTTGCATGATCACTTGTGAAAGCAAACATATACACAGATCACTCCCATTTCCTTACTCGTTCTCATCTCTTATGATTAAAAAGCATTATACAAGACGTTTCAAATGAGAGAATTAAATAAGCATGACATACATCTAAAATAAACAAACACACACACACACCTGAACTGTGTAACATTTTCCCAGTGGTCCCAAAGAACACGCTTCTCTCACACTGTTGTTATTACTGAAATGCTTCAGAGTCTGCCATGAACCACAACCCCATTTGTGCCACATATCCATGTGCTACCAAACCCAAAATATCATACAACATTAACACACAGATTATATATATACTCTCTCTTACATATAATAAAGCAGTAAATTTTGCATCCAAACCATAGGAGTGCCTAAAAAAAGAAATGTCCTGACAGATTCTACCCTAGTGCTTGCTAAAAACATTTCAAAAATATTTCTGCATATTTGCTTTACAAGAACAGTTTTTATTACATGAAGGAAATATTTTAAAATGTCATATTTAAAGGGAAAGTGCCTCAACGGTATCCAGAGCAGATGAAACTGTATACAGTTTCTCATTTGTTGCTAGGTTAGTTTTACAGAAATATTTTCACATTCGGCTTCTGAAAGTTGAGGTTTCCATTTTCCAGTTCTGCATGGCTCAGTTCAGACTGATTTTTATTTCTGCAGTGCTGGCTAGATAACCCTCAGTACTTGATCGGGCTCAAGACCAAGGAGGCAAGACGAGTGCTTAGCACTGCTCCCATGGAGCTCACACTGTGATTTTTGGCAGTGTCACCTTGACTGGAAACAGAGCAGGGCTGCACCCCTCGACTCGCGACGACCCGTCCACCTAACGACTGGCTCACTTGGGCATGTTCAGCTGCATGAGTCCTGGAAAAGGACGGGCCTCTCACCTGCCAGCTTCATGCTTGCAGCCAGATTTCAAATCAACTTGAAAGCTGCTAGCAAGCTCTACACAACCAGACACAATCTGCAAGTAAAAGATTAGGAGCACAGAACAAACTCACTTAGAAAAGGACCCGACTCTGCACAGTTTTATTAGCCATGAAGACAAGGGTTATGAAATGTATGAAGGTGTAAGAGGAAGATTAAGAGAACAAAAGCCTGACTGGCACACTGCATTTCAGCAAATTTTGTTTTCAACCCAGGTGTGGCAGTTTAATCCAGACTGCTAAAAATATCCTTTCATCTCCTTTCTTCTAGATGCCTCTGAACAGGGAAGAGCATAAGGGGAAGTCACTTGATTTTAAAACTGAAGGAATCACAAACTAGAAGCTCTGAGATTAAAAGTCTATCTTCCTAACTGGTGCCTTCACTGAGCATCACAAGCACTTCCCTTCCCTCTCCCTCTGAAAAAAAAAAAAAAAAAAGGGAATAACTGGCATATGTATGTAGAACATGTCTGTATTTAAGCAATCCCCCATGCTGCCATAGCTCCGACACGATTTTTGAGCAGCTACACTAAGACTTTCCCACTGTAGAGTTCCCAGCTCACCCCTGACTCACCTCAGCACTGCTCAGGGATAACTGATCCTTAAACTTCACCTCAGGCTGTTCCCAATGTCCCAATCCCAACAGCAAGATCACTGGTCACACAGCAGGAAGGGACTCGGGAGACTGTTGGGTTCACCCCTCTGCTGAACAGAGCCAACTCTCCACTGCATTTATCAGTCTTGCATGCAAAGGAAGGCATCCACTGCCTGCAAGCGGAGGCAGGTGGAGAGGAAAAGGGGAAATGATGGCCATTGGCAGACAGCAAAAGGCATCTAAGATCTCCATGGGTTTTACCCCCCTCCAGGGCAAAGTATTTACCCCATTAGCATCTGGCAGGAGTTTCCATTCATGCCACACTCTGGAAAATAGGGTTATCATCAGGCTCAGGTCTGCTTTCCTGTTCCATGCCTGGAAAGCCTCGCAGCAGATGCTCTTCGCAGTTACACACAGAAGCAAACGGGGGCAAAAATCACTCTGCTGAGATCACAGCAGTAAAGTTAAGGGTCACATCCCTCAACTCTATGGCTGGTTCTTCCATAAAACAAGGGCTCTTCCCCTCCAGATTTGTTTCTCATGGCTGGCTTCTCCAGCACCTAAGAAAGCATGAGCTTTGGCCAAAGCACCTCCTATAGCTGGAGCACTCCCACCCTGTCCTCCTCCTCACACGGGTGCTCTTCCATCTATACTTCACTCAGGAGCTTTTCTCTTCTATAGAGGCACTCATCTTGCTGAAATTTCTTATTCCTTCATCATCTATTTTCACCTAATTTGTTGGGCCTCAGTTCTGTTCCAGACACAGCTGCCTGTCAAGGTTTGCCTGAAAGGGGCCCGTAAGTTCAAAAGTTACTACTGGCAGAGAGTGGGATGATATGGGCAGTGTGCCCAGCAACTTCTAAAAATAATTGAAAGGCAGCAATGAAGGAAACCCCCCCAAAAGCAACACAGGTTCACCCATGATAACTCATACTGCAATCTCTTGCTAAGAAAGTATATTGCAAGACATGGGAAACCCAGGAGAGCTCACACATTTGAGGCAGAAATACACTGAATTGAATAAAATAGAAAAAAAAAGAAGGAAAAATACAGCATAAAGGGAGACTTATTTGCCAAAAGAGCCACTAGCAATTTTGAAACTGGACTTTATTGACAAAGCTGTAAGAATTAAGAGCCTACTAACAAACCCTCATGACACAAAACCAGAATTTATCAATACAGAAGAAGACTGAAATATCAGTACCTGAGGAACTGGAGAGTCTCAAGGACTGAAGAAACAAAAATGGAATAAAAAGTATCAGCTAATGCACTCAAAGACAGAAGTGAATCTGCTTCAAGATGCAGAATTAACATGAGAAATGACAGGGTTGCCTGGTGACTATACCAATATTTGGCAGACAAGAGAATGACAAATATAAATCTATGATTAATTAAGAAAGCAAATTCTATTGAAAATACAAAATTAATATTTTTGCACAAAGTGCTGAAAAAATTCACCTAGACTACCATATATAATCCAAATCACCCAGTCAAATAAAATCCAGCAAAATGAGAACTGGTGCAGAAAAAAAGACCCTAGGATGAAGGAGAAAAATGAAAAGGCTGGCATGTCGGGGGACACTACAATTGCTCACCTTGATTAGCATAAGAACAAAAACACAGGGAAACAGGATTATAGCAGGAGTTTAAAAACAAAAAATAAAAAAGTTGTTTCAGCTAACAAAATAACAACCATTATTTATGCACAAACAAATAGCTATAAAGTGTCAGTGAATAAAGCTGAAAATTGAAGTGTTCTAACCATTGGAGCCTTGAGAGTTTGAAATAACCAGGCACAACACTGAGCATCTGTTCATAAATTTCTTTGAGAGTTGTCTGGCAGCAAGGGACTGGCCTGAGCAAAGTCCCTTCCTACTTTCCAGGAAAACTTTTTACATCTAATGGTTATTCAGTGGCATGTGGTTTTATACCATCAGAAACACACTGCAGTTGTTTCTGATTTCCGAAGGGGGAACAGCCAGCTTTCTCAGCACTAGTTGTGATGACAGTAGCTCACCTTCACTCTCGTCAGGAGCTGAGGAGACCTAGGAAAGAAACAGCTGTATCTCACTGGGCCAACTTGGAGCAGCTCAGGTTGGGTGTCCTGCTCATGGGGGACACTCTCACGTGGCACACGGCGCCTTTCCAGAGCCTGCTCTGGCCGCTGGTACAAACAGGACGTTTCAGCCTGCTGTGCTGGAGAGTAACACACCTGAAGAGCTCTACTCTCCTCAAAATAATTTCAAGGAATATTATTCGGTAGAGAAAAAAAAAGTTTTGCTTTTATTTAAAAGACAAAGACAGCAAAAGACAGTTTTAAAAATCACTTTCTAAATGTTTAGGTGAATCTGTTAAAATCAAAATACTGGAAAAAAAATAAGAAAGACTAAAGCAGTCAGTTGAATCCAGAGGCATATGAGCTTTCCCAGAAGCAAGTCCTGGGGTAGTCGGTAGCTGTGTCAGAAATAACACAGCACCTCTTTATACTTGGAGCACGCCTCCCCTCAGAGC